TAGCGGCACAGTGCACATGACACAGTACAATTCGGTGCAGTATAGTGCAGCACAGAACCTCATGTGCTGATCAATACGCAAGGCAGAAAACGTGCTGCTGCTCTGATTAGAGCTTTGGGGGGCAGTGTCTGGTGCTGTTTGCTCACCCCAGCTCATCCTCTGCAGTGCCCCTCCCAATACCGCAGGGTGCAGATTGGATGGGGGCTCGCCGTGTAGCCTGGGGACCCGTGACGCCACTGATACAGAAGGTGACGTGTCCAATGTCTTGTTTTCAGAGCATGGGGCCGGCGAGGCTGTGGCTGCTGGGAGCGGGGATCCTGGCCTCTGTCCACTGTCAACCTTTTTCTGCCCTGGAGGGTAAGAGTCTGGGGGTGCCTCAAGTGCACAGCTTTCAGGTCTCAGACCCAGCCCCTGCCTACCACAAAATCACACCCGTCATTACCGACTTCGCCCTGCGCCTGTACAAGCAGCTGGCCACAGGAACCACAGGCAACATCTTCTTCTCTCCCGTGAGCCTCTCGGCCTCCCTGGCCCTGCTCTCCCTGGGGACCCAAGCGGACACCCAGACCCAGATCCTGGAGGGCCTCGGCTTCAACCTCACCGAGACCCCAGAAGCCGACATCCACAGGGGCTTCCGGAGCCTCGTTCACACGCTTGGCCTGCCCAGCCCCAAGCTTGAACTGAAAGTGGGCACCTCCCTGTTCCTGGACAAGCAGCTGCAGCCGCGGCAGATGTTCCTGGACACCCTCAGGGAGCTGTACGGGGCCTTGGCCTTTTCTGCCAACTTCACGGACGCGGCAGCCACGGGCAGGCAGCTGAGCGACTACGCACGCAGGCAGACCTACGGGCGCGTGGCTGACTGCCTGCAGGGCGCCACCCCTGACTCGCTGCTGGTTCTCTTGAACTACATCTTCTTCAAAGGTGAGACTGACCGGGCAGAATTCTTGTCCCCCTCTGTAGGTATAGTACCAGAGGGACAAGTGAGGGGTTCTTTTTTTATTATTACTTGTTATTAATTTATGCAGACAGAACTGGGGTATAGGCCAGAGGTGAGCGGAGTGAGAGGATTCACCAGAGACAGAGTGGGGTGCAGAACAGGCCGACTGACTGAAATACACTGCTGAGGGGACCAGTGGACTGGTCAGGAGAGGTCTGCTGTGCCCTGTCGGTCACCTCCCTGGCTGGGGATGGAACTCGTGCTGCAGTGGCTGCCGTAGCTTCAGAGTGCTGCGCTTTAACCGGCTGCACCACCAGGGAGGGCCTGAGGACGTTCTTGATGTAAGTGGGAGCATGGCTTTGTCTACAGTTGTGGGGACCAGCTTTGGGGACAGAATCAGCAGTGCTCTGGCACTGACTAGCCGCGAGCACAGGGAAGCCGAGCTGGGCCCCATCCCCACAGCCATGCATCTATCTGGTGGGCCAAGCCAGGAGGAGGGCGTGAGCAGAGACTGCACGCAGAGAGAGAGGGTCACAGCGTGCAGACCAGACTGGCCACCGCACCCTGCATTTCTGGCCAGGTCTCAATGGGGTCTTGCATTATATGTTATATTTTATTCCCTGAGTCCATTCTCTCTGTCTAGTTAGAATACGAGGGAGTTGGGAGAGGGAGCTTTTCCGGAGAAGGCGGCTGTTGTCCTGAGGCAGTGGGACCCAGGGGAGTCCGCTCGGTTTTTTTCCAAGAACCTGAGCTATGACCCCAGAGGAGGCCCCAGTCCAAGGTTTTCCAAATTGGAAAAGTACCTACAAATTCAAGGAGACTCGGTTTCTCCTCTCCGATATGGAGAACAAAACACTTGTTTTACTATCAATTTTTGTGAAGATTTCAATAGAAGGTGCTTAGTAGATGAAATGCATTGAGAACTCGGTCGCTCTGAAGTAGAACAAAACCGCAGGCCCTGAGAGGTGACTGGCTCTAGTGTCTGAGTCAGCCCACGCCGGCCCCCACGTCCACAGCCAGGCCATCTCTGTAGCTCCTCCGGCCGGGCAGCAGCCCCGAGCCAGACTGGCCTGTGTGCCTGCCCAGAGTGCTGTCCGGGCTGGGGTGTTCTCATGATTTTGTGGGGTTTGTGTCCCAAGCCAAGTGGAAGCATCCTTTCAATCGCTACCAGACCCAGAAGCAAGGGACCTTCTTTGCGGGCGAGAGAACCCCTGTGCGCATCCCCATGATGCACCAAAAGGAAATGCACAGATTCCTCTATGACCCCGAGGCGGCCTGCACCGTTCTCCAGATCGAATACAGCGGCAATGCCCAGGCCCTGCTGGTCCTGCCCGACCCCGGGAGGATGGAGCAAGTGGAGGCGGCTCTGCGGCCCGAGACGCTCAGGAAATGGGGCCGGTTGCTCCTGCCCAGGTAAGCATCGGGTGGGCGATTCCAGCAGACCGTGTTCGAAACCTGAGCAGGTTCTAATTGCAAGAGCCCAACCATAGGTGTGGTGCATCGCACTGTCCTTTAAAGACAGTTTTCTTGGCTTCTTGACCTTGCATTTTCTCAAAGGTCAAAGGAGGCCTGAATAACTACCACCATGAGTTGCTTGGCAGATTCACGGAGATAATTCACACCATTCTGCTACAGGGCATGAATCCCCACCCCTCCTGCCTGTCTTCTGTTCCAGCCTCCTGTCTCTCTTCTCCCAATACTAATTTGCTACTGAAAAAAATTAGCAAAAAATCAGTCAAAGACAAGGATTAAGAATAATTCTGACTTGCACAAAGTTATGCGTATTTTTAAAAGGTAACTCTTTTTTAATTAAAACATGTCTCAGATTGAGTATCTCAGAGATCTTTCTGGAAATTAAAATGTCAGTATCATGTGATTTCTGTCCTACCCTTTTCTGTCTCAGTTGTTTCTCAGTTTGTCATTTTCTCAAGACCTTTCAACCTTTCTCAGCAGTCTGTATATCTCCTTCACAGTTTAATCCTTCCTGGGATGTATCTTCCCTGTGGGGTGCTCTGGGATGAAATCTGCATTCAAAGTGCCTCTGACGGGATAACAAACCAACCCCAAGTGGAATGACTTGAGAAACTTGCCTGTTACTGTCTCTCTTGGTTTTATGAATGAACTGGGCTCAGCTGGGCGGTTCTCACTTGGGGGTGCTCTTGTGTCCTGACTCAGAGGGGGCTGGGTATCAAAGGCCCCTCTCTTGTGGCTCTGGAGCTTGGGCTGGGCATCTGGCTCAGATAAAGCCTGACAGTATCCACACAGCTCTGCACAAGGCTAGTGCGGGCTTTCAGCTCAGCAACTCTGAATCATTGGTATTTTCCCACAGGCCAGGACCTCAGGGGAGAGTGTCCAAAAGACACTCTCAATGAAGCTTTACAGCTCTCATGGTTGCTGGTCCGTAGGCTCAGGCTCCCTTGAAGTAAGCCTGTCCCTCCCCCCATCATGGGAGGAAGTACCATAGAATTTTCTAGACCAGGAGATTTTTCCCACAAGAAGGATCAGGCTTGACCTCTCATTTTGACCTTCTAAGAGCAAAACTATCCCCAGTTACTTTTCTAAATTCATGTGCTCCCTCTGGCTATCTCTCATGCCAGATAATATAATCTAATAATTTTATGTTACCGTATGTAATATCACATTGTAACAGCATTCACTGATTTATTTATTTGACTGAGGTGCAGTTTCAGGGGCCACATAACATTACAGCATTTTCAGGGGCTCCTGCCATTCAGCTATGAAGAAGGTTGTCTTCCTCGGGAGCCACATTTCCTGAAATTGTCTGTATTTTTTTTTTAAAGATTTATTTATTTATTCATACAGAACTGGGGTACAGGCCAGAGATGTGGAGGGTGAGAGGATTCACCAGAGACAGAGCGGGG